CTTCGAAAAATCATATTCTGTTCCGCTTAAGCAAGCGCGCCACTATTGGAGGTCTTTTTGAAAATGATACCAAGGGTTTGATACTGTCGCTGTGGATTACAACCATCAGCTTTTTTGCTACCCAAGCAATCTGCAGCTCAAGCGACCTGCCGGACTGCATTAAGTATTGGAAAATTTGGAATCCTACTGAAATGCTACTGAAAATAATGAAATTAACAGCCTTTTTAATAAAAGTAGGAGCAAGAGGGGGTTAAACGTTTCTTACAGCACATGTGTAAATTGGTCGCAGTGTAGGCCATCAAACTTTAACTGCTTTCTCGCTGATTAACACCAGTTAATGTCACTGTTAGACCGCCTAGTACTCCCTTTTTCCCAGAAAGTGAATTTCGGGTCTTTGCTTTTAATTCGAAGCTTTGTTTGAGAATTTCTTCTGTAAGTCGGAATGTCGAATTTTGCTGAGAAAACTTTTGATTTCTCATTTCAGCTGTGCTTGCGTTTGACAAAAGAAGCAACGGAAGAGGGTAAAATCAAGGCAGCACATGCAATTGCGCGACTCGGCACGCAGGTTTATTTTGAGCAATTACGGCCAAAATTAATAATTTCAGTCGGCAAAGTGGCATAAAAACCAGTTTTCATTATCATTTATCAAATTGTTCACATGAAGCTCCTAACATTGACGGATGTGGTGAAAGTTTTGGCTTCTCTTTTTTAAATCTAAACTAAAAAAAGTTCTTCAATTTCAGGTTGATCCGTCGATAGCTTTCCCGGGACAAAGAGCCTACGAAGTGATACATCCTCTGGTTCAGCTGCTCCATCCTGACATTGAAGGAAGGCCGAATTATGATGCTCTTTTGACGCTCACCAATTTGGTGATTTTCGTTTGCTTCATTTTCAGAAAACCCTTAAGGATGTGTTACACTTTATGTGCGTCTAACCTTTCGACTTTGCGACAATAGTGCTACGGCACTAATGTTGAAGTGCAGTGGGTCGTAGGTTTGACTTTATTGATGGGACAACCAATCTTTCTACTATTCGTTCACTTATTTCTGTGGTAAAATTGATGCTGGCTTATGCCAAAGAGTCAGACGTCGCTATCAATTTGCTTTTGAGCAATCGTAGAAAGAAGGAGACATTGACAGCTTGCTAGCAGATCGCTGTTGCTATTCTTTGCTTTCATGTCCCGCTTCTTCCTGGAAGCGAATACGGACAGAGTTTCTAGCTTCTTGGCTATTGCTTATTACTTATCTTATTGTGGCTCTTACGCTTCCTTCTTGGGATTTTTCATTTTTAAAATATTATTGGGCAAAGCTTTTTTTTTGTTGGTTAATGTTTTATGTGAAGTTATTCACCAGCAGTTTTCCAAAAAATCCTTTTATTGAAGTACCCATCAGTTTTCATGAATCCCAAAAAATTGATCTCCTGACAAAAAGACATTTTTGATAGCAGACAGTAGTGGTGGTTTTCTCGACGTTTGAGGTACTACTATGACTGTGATCATTTGCTAGGGACTTCACAAAGATTTTATGGGATACGGTTATGCTTGACTGTCTTCTCCTGAACTATTTGGTTGACACGCCAGGCCATCACCGACGAGCACTATTTCATTAGGGTTTGTCCAGTTTCATAGGTCACTTACTAATAAATACTATTCAGTTTTCTTCTTGAACTTGTTTTTTTTTTAAGGCAAGCATGAGTGATTCTGTGCGCCGTCGAATGATCAAAGAGCGGATTGTCCCTAAAGCGGAAGAGTACTGGTACATGACGGATCATCCTCACCTGCGTGCTGCAGCTGCTGAATTGTTCCTCAATTTGTTATTCTGTGATGAATATTTCGATCAGATTATTCGAGTACGTTATTTTACAATACTTTAAGATTTCTTGTTCTGCACACTTCACCACCATAATAGTGTCAGCATGCTTCAGGGCATTTGCTGTTCTTCGATATTTTACGTAGAGTGGGCAAAAGACAATTTCTAAGTCTGGGCAGAGAATAAGTGTAGGTATTACAGAAGCATAGGAATTTTTCAGGCCA